TTCCCCCCTAATATTTACCCATTGACTAGCCATTCAACATTACAGTTATTAATTTTAACATTTATTAGACTACTTAAATATACAGAAATTGAATACAATTATCAAACACAATTTTTTTTTATTAAATGAATGAATCCTTAAAGCTAGAAAAGTTAATGATTCTCTTTTATTTGGTTCTTTGGTTAACAGACATCACAGCAGTTTCTCTCCCCCTTTGATATTAAATTATACAGGCTGCCTGCGAACGCGCACTGGCGCATTTGTGCGTGCAATTGAAGAGCACACGCTACGAGCACAGTACCTTTTCCGCACTCGTTTGACTCGCGCCTGGCGAAGCTGGAGCAAGCGTCTTAAAAGTCTCCCATTTGATGTGGTTGTAAACACTTTCTGCGTCTAAATGAACGCAATTTTTGACAAGAAAAAAGAGACAGAAGCAGCAGTTGTGAGTGGGGTGGCTAACCCTAGCCCCGCCCCTGCGTTAAATATTAATGCGTTAAACGGAAAAAATTAATTGCCTACGTTAACGTGATCATTTTGACAGCCCTAATAATATATATATATATATATATATATATATATATATACATAAAAACCGTTTTAATTTATTAAATAAATGCATGTCTAAAAATATGATTATATGTTAAAATAAGTACTATATTTATAGTAAAAATTTTAACTTCTGGCATGACTGGGTCAGCATAAAAATTATTGTCCAACACCTCCTACATTTGGCTATGTAAAGATAGATGCTACATGTTGAATTGCAAATTAATCTTGAAAACGTTGATTAAATCTGAGTAAATATCAATCTAAGTGATTAATCTAATTCAATCTAAGTGTATAAACATGAAAACTCATCCTTCCATGTAACATAAACAGAAGGCTTCATGAAATGTGACGGGCCATGCATTTAACACCACCATGAACTATGAAAGTGTGGCTGGTAATTAATACATTTCATACAGCCTATGACAATGATATATTGTCAGATCAGAATAATTTGACACTGCATTTTATTTCTGACCAGAAATTTCATCATGCAGCAAAACTTCAAGACCCAAAGGGGTCAAAGTGTTAGAATTTCATTATCAGGTTGCAGATATTTCTGCACTTTTGTTGACAGCAGCTTGATGGGATAGCTTTGTGTTAACCTCCAGTCTGTCATGGTGATATGGAACCATCGCCTGTGTGCCTCCAGTGTTAGTAATGCATTGCAGGAGGTCTAATCTACAGGCAGGGGAAAAACAGTGACGCACGTAGTGATGAAGGTCTCATCTCCACCTCAGCAGCTGTTTTCATGACAGGTGAGAAAACCCATGCAGGGGCCAAGTCTAAAATGGCCAGCTGCAGTATAAATATAAATGTAACCATCAGTTATGTTTTGAATATTTCAACTGTATGAGACTTGCCATCACTACTTGTCATTATTTTAGATCCACAGTACCATTTTTTTTTTTTTTACATTCTCAGTATACGAAACACTTACATCAATGTGACAATGAGTTTAGAGATTCAATTTTTTTCTTTACCTGACGCATCTCCAACTTCAAAATCACTGTCATCTGAGCTGTCATAATCCAGAGCATCCAGCAAGGAGTCAGCCAAAGGCTTCACCTGCCGCCGCTTCGACCCCCGATCCACTAGATAAAGAAATAACACTTCCCAATGAGACTTTTAGACTTTTTAGAAAGAAATGTAATACTAAAATAACACTATGAATGCACAATACAATTATCTAAAGCAATTAAAAATTAAGAACCAAATGATTGCAAATACTTAGAATTAGCACCAAATCTATTTAACTGCGATAAAGCCGCACTGCATAAATAAAAATATAAATACAGAAACTGACATAGGTAACACAAATTATGAGTGTGATCTCCTACCACCATGTAAGCATTATCTTCACACTTGTGGTCTCTGACTGTAAATGTATTCAGTGTGTAAATGCATTATTTTAAACGAACAACAAATAACGACAGACTGTAGCTGTGTTTCAGATCCATCACTCACACACACATTATGTTGGCTAAAAAGGCAGCACACACAGGTCTCTGATGCCCTAAGATGCTGTCACAGTAGACAGCTCACAGAGAAGCACGGTCTGTTTATTTTATTAAGCTGGCAACAGAAGCTTTCTGGAGATACGAAGACGCACTGTGCTATATAATCATATAAAGATGAGGTGGAAAACTGTTCGTATTTCTTTGAAATATGTGATATTATGTGTCTGTAGGTGAATGATGGAGAAAGGAACTTCACATCAGTTAGCCAGCGAGCTAAAGCAGCAGTAGCCTCATGTTATCTATTAACGCTTATTTCTCTCATTTCACACCACATGTTGTAAATTCTAATGGTGATTCTGTTGCGCTATTTTTTCTCTTTCAAACTGTATAACATAACAGCGAGGACTACTCACTTTATGGGATTTTCGCGTTTGGATAGCTTGCACAAAGGTACAACGAACGCCTCCTCAGTTCATGTTCTGCGTAGTACGTCTGGTATTGTGTGTCACGTGTTCACATTTTGCTGACGTTCAGCTCACAAAGTAGGAGGTGGAAACCATAGCAACCGTTGGAGTTGGCGCAGGGACATTATTGTGTTGTTTACATTTTGCGCCGTAGTTTTAAAACTACAGGCTATTTCATTATTTGTAATAATAAAAAGAAAACAATACCGCTGAACACCGCTGCTATTTAGGCTATATGAAACTGTAACTAGGCTAATAATGAGATGATAATAATAATAGCCTGCCTAAGTAAAAACTGTTTGTACTGTACTGTAAGTTTTTGGTCAAACAAATAAGTCAATGGACAACGCCATCATGGTGCATGTTCACATTTACATATCTAAAGAACATTGTTCAAATCGATCATTAAGGCGTTTTAATGTTGATCTGACCAAAATAGTCCATAATCGATCATGAGGCTTCCAAAAAGTCCATCCCCTGTTGTCTTCTCACATCAAAATCCACTGATATATTGTTTAGAACAGTCTGATCTGTTTTTGCGTGTAAATGGTGCTTACTTATATATTATTGCGATGTTTTATCAGCTGTTTGGACTTTCATTCTGACGGCACCCATTCACTGCAGAGGATCCATTGGTGAGCAAGTGATGTATTGTGATGGGGCTTGGTGTTAAAGAATTGTGCTATAATAACCCCTACAAATACAACTCATTATATACACTACTGTATAAACACTTTAACAGACATGTAGATGTTTGTGAAAGATGTTTTCTCTGTTTTGGAGGGATGACTATTTTTAAATCATACCCTATTTATTGCATCAAAATGTGTTGATACTTTACTATATTTAAGGGTGGATAATTTTATCAGTTTATTGCAACAATACATAGCTACAATAACTTTGTCTAGTGCTCTTATGAAAGTTTATAGCATGATTTGTGAAAATGTAACTATACTGAATGACATAGCATAGACTTCTTCATGGCTAAGATAATATCATGATAATTTTTGTGTTTCCCTTACCGAATGTCGTATCCGGTCAGCAAAAACCTGTCCATGGGCTTTTTTGATTGCTTTCAGTTTAAGTGCCGGCGATCGCAGTGTTGCATTGATACTAAAACAAACAAAAAACTAAAAATAAACCAAAATTATTTCCAATAGTTTGCAAATAAGATAAGATAAAGGTATCGCTGACTCTAAACTGCAACTTCCTACTTTATTAACTTTCTAAAGTGTTAAATTAATACATACTGGTAAAAAATGTATAGCCTGAATGCACTCTTAAGTCGCTTTGGATAAAAGCGTCTGCTAAATGCATAAATTATTATTAATTAATTAAATTATACATTAAGTGGAAAAGACAAGTCCAAAAACGCTTATAATAGCTCACTCACTCACAACTCTCTCAAGCCTCGTTCGTTCACTCATCATTTTCATACCAGGGATGCTAAACATTCTTGCAAACTGTCTAAACTGAATTATACATGTAATGCAGTCATTCATATGAGGAGTTTAATAGCAAATTAGTCTTTCAAAGAACACATTTTATTTTTGAACATGGAAAATTTACCGAGGTCCGGACCTCGGTGGCCTCATAGCTGGTTACGGGCCTGGCTAGAATGGATATTGACCGTTTTTTTACGCACTGCTACCACAAAAGAATGTAAATAGATTCTCATCTCTCTCTATTAGACTTTTCCTCTCTTTTATTGTTGCCATACAAATCTGTATGCTATTTCATGGGCTTGCTGTGAATTTAACTTAATTGACATTAAGAGTTCAGTGCTTAGTCAGTTTATTTGATTTATTTGTTTGACAAATGTTACACTGGTATATTTAAATATTTTAATAGGGTCACTCTAGTTTTCAATATAACGAGTATTTTCTTCATATGGTTGAGTCTGTCTTGTAGTTCAAAAAAGATATTTAATAAATATCTTAACAAGTCTTGAAACTTATCGTTGAATAACAAGAACAATATTATGAGACTGGAAATGTATTTGGCTATTTTTGAGAGCGAGGCTTGTTTCTGTCGTCCTCTGTTGACTTTGCCAGTTTAGCAAACAGGAGTCGATTAAAATAAATGAGCCTAGATTGATCCTGATACACAGCGAGGGGAAGACTGATGGGGAAAGGCACGCGCAAGGGATGATTACGACTGTCCTTGTCCGATGACAAATGGCACTGTATTGTGCTGGAAAGCCAGTTTTTTATCCCTTGGCTTCAAAACACTTTTCGGATATCATCATAAGCATCATCGTCATCATCACTGTCACCATTCTATTGCCAGCATTTTCAGTTGTAGATGACATGTGATATTGCCAATGAATGAAGTGAATGTTTCATATTAGTCAAGGAGAATATGATAGTGCAGCAGCACATATCTGTCAGTAAGTGTTATTTATTTATTTATTTTTGTTATTAATAATGCATTATTCTGCATCTATATTTAGTATGGTGCAGTTTATGAATTGCTGTATATTGCATTATTACATTATTGCATTGCATATATACAGTATTAATCAAAACTGACCCGTAAGATATTTGCATTGTCACAAAAAAAAAATGTAAATAAATAAATAAATACTGTTCTTTTGAACTTTCTATTCATAAAAAAAAAAATCTTGAAAATGGTTTCCACAAAAATATTAAGCAGCATTTTCAACATTGATTATAATCAGAAATGTTTCTCTAGCACAAACTCAGCATACTAAATCATGTGGATCATGTGACATTGAAGACTGGAGAAATGACTGCTGAAAATAACATTTTAAAATATTTTAAAACACAAAACAACTTTTTTTTTTATTATTATAAAAATATTTCACAGTATACAGTATACTCAACATAATAAATCCCAGATTTGCCCAACTAACAAAAATATTTATTATCCCTAATATTATATTCCCATTAAATGGGGTAATATGATGTGATTTCAATTTTTCCTTTCTCTTTGGAGTGTTACAAGCTCTTGGTGCATAAAGAAGATCTGTAAAGTTGCGAAGACTAAAGTCTCAAATCCAAAGAGATATTCTTTATAAAAGTTCAGAGTCAGCCAACCTACCTAAAACGGCTCATTCTAACATGCCCCCTCATATCTACATCACTATGTGGGAAGATTTGCATAACGCCGCTCAAATGTTCACGCAAAGAAAGAAGGCGTAACTTTTATTCTCGCTGTAGTATTGTTGCCGCAGCCGCCATGTCGTGAAGGCGCTGTGTGTTTCGTTGTGAAAGTTAAACTACTTTGTTTGGCCTTCCAAAAGAGGACACAACTAGACATCAGTGGTTAAGTTGTATTTACAACACTGTTCCAGGACAGTTTAACCCAAATATTCAGATGTGTCCAGCGCATTTTATGGAGGACTGTTTCCTGATCTTGGTAGAGTAGACTACAATGCTCGTGTCTGTTTCTATAAAGTGGGGCAGTTCCAAATTTGCAAGGACAGTCTGGCACTTCTGACTCACAGCCTGTAAGTACGTTTTCATATTTAAAGAATTTGCCACTGACGATTCAAACGCGAGTTTTGAGCAGTGTAGAGTAGCGCTTGTTGTTTGTTGTTTCTCCGATCACAAATGTTGACATGGTTTTATGTTTACGCAGCGCAACATGTAAAAAGACAGTATAAGTCATTATAATCCGTAATTATGTCCCCACTGGATGCAACAAATGCCTCGTTTATAATGGATTTTACTGGTTTTGTCAGGTCACGCCGGGACACGGCATCACAGTATGGTGAGGGGCGTAACATTTCCGTCACACGCTTGAGGTATTCGGACAATCATAATGCACTGGATAGCTGGCCAATCAGAGCACACCTCGCATTAAACAGAAAATACACCTTCACGACCTCAGAAAGGCGGGGCATAGAGGAGAAACAATAATGTACAGTATGTGGAAAATAATGTGTTTTTTTAACCTTAAACCGCATAAACACATTTCATTACACCAAATACACAAAATAATGTTATTTTTAGCAACGCCATATGACCTCTTTAAAAATGTTTAATGTTTTTTTTTTGGTTCTGTCAACATTAAAGACAACATTAAAGGGAGCATTCCATTTGATTGTTTTGCAAAGATTATTGAAATGTTACTTCTGTATGTTCTCTGAACTATAGTAAGTAGTAACATTTAAAAATAAAATGTTTCAGAAAAATGTTCCATAAACAATTTATAAATAAAGTTTTTGTACTAACGTTTTGAGAATGTTACTAAAGGCCAGATAACTTTGAATGTATGTTCTATTCATGTAACCTTTGTGCTTATATAATGTTACGTTTATGCTTATAATGCTACCATTAGCAAATTCTCTGAGAATGTTCCGTTAGCTGGTGGGAGAGAGACACTTTCAGATTACAAATAAAGAAATTAAACAGAAAATACACCTTCACGAGTGTGTTAAGTTTGCATACAGCATTATTCAGTATCTAGTGACGATATCGGTGATGGACCGAGAGGCTGTAAATGGAGAATCCCACAGAGGAGCCGCATGAAGATCTTGAGCCACTATCTTGCTGCAGATATCTGTCAGCTTGATGAGGCAAAAGACAGAAGCAATTACATTAAGAACAAGAATAACACAAGGTTTAGGAAATCAAAACATTACTATAAGGACGTACTGTGCCACGGCAGCTTTAAAACCTCATTTGAAGAGGAGTAATTGCATGGGCTATTATTTATGAACCCTAAAGAAATATGTTACGGAATGCTTGCATTGATCGACTGCTGCACCAGTTTAATGTTTTGCATTTAAATTGAAATATTTATCCATTCATATGGTGTAAATCATACCACGGTGGCCACCGTTTATCTTTGCTGAGGTGCCCATTGCTTTTCCTCACGAGCTCTTTCACTGGAGCGTGTGGCTGAAATTGAGTGAATTTGATTACAAACACATCGCTCCTGTGTGGAGATGTTATCTCTGTGTTATCTTAATGTCACCCTCAGTGTGCAGGCCTGCGCTAATTTAATCGTCATTTTAGATATGATTATTTACTCCTTAGGAAAAGACAATCTTTACCAATGCAC